GAATTCAATTTATAAGATGATTGTCTAGACACACAAATCAGCGTCGATGAGAACGAGTTAGTGTGTTTGGTTGTCATTGAAATCAGGTTGAAGAGTCTAGATATTCATTTTTTAAGTTAGAATGCTTATTTGTTAGTTTCAATTAAATTTTAATATACATTTTTATGTAATTGTATGTAAATGAATCATGTCGATATTTTGATGGTAGGAATAGAATCCCTTCATCAAGCCTCGTGTTTGAACTACTATATAATTTAATAATTATAATGTATATGAATACATGTATTATGTAATTATTGAGTTGATGTAAACACTAAAGATACATATTTTTTTGGGGTTAGGAATGAGAAGTTGATAGGATGATCTCTAATATTCTTTTTTGAAGAATCTTTGTATTTGGTGGCATATGATAATTGGTATTATAATTAAATTATAATATTGTACAAGATACAATTAGTATAAAATGAAATATCATATACATATATTGGATTTGTTTACATTTGAGGATTAGGTTTTGTTTTGTTTAAGTAAATAATTGGAACAAGTCACCAACCCATTTTTATATATTCCAAAGTGTAATAATGCTTTAATTTCAAAATGTAGGAGAATATAATCTCACATTTAACTATAAATCACGTGAATATAATGCTTGATTATAAGTTTGTAACTATTGTATGTGCGATCATTTGTTTGTATATATATACTAGTTATTAGGTTCCCGCGCCAGCGCGGGCCCAATGTATATTACTTCCTCCGTCTCATTTTATGTGAGGTAGTTTGATTCGCCACGGAGTTTAAAAAAGAAATGAAGACTTTTAAAATTTGTGGTCCAAAATGAATGATATAAATTTGTATGACTGTAAATTATTTCATTAAGGGTAAAATAAATATTTTATAATCAAATTGTTACTTAATATAGAAATGTGACATTCTTTTGGGACTGACTAAAAAGGAAAGTAAATAACATAAATTGGGAGTAGTTCTTTGTTTCAATTTATGTGACACCGATGAAATTTGGAGAGTTATATAATTTTTTGTATGTGATTTTGTTAAATATATTTTGAAGTTGTTAATTTATTGTGATTTATAGCACTTCTTATATCATTTTCAAATAATATATATTACTCTTCTGTTCCATTTTATGTGACGTAGGTACTTTTACGAAACTCAACTAAATTTCTTATATGATTCTTCAATATTTTTAGTTGTTATTTTACTTTAATTTACGTTACTTTTTATGTTATTTTCAAACAAACTTCTTATGTTTCAATATGGAATTAAAGAGTCAATAAAATTTCTTTTATGATTTTTAATTATGTTTTTTTAATATCTTATATTATTACATTGTGATTTTAAGTACTTTTTATGTAATTTTTAAATCTAGAACAAATTAAAAGAAAAACAAGGAAAAATTTAAATGAAGAAAGTACTAAAATTTTCAAATAATCATATTTCTATATTAAAATGTTAAAAACTTTAAAACTCCACATATATGCAGAAAATCATATACGGAAGACAAAATAATTTTTAAAATATATATTAAAGCTCTTTCTAATAATATCACATATTTATTCTATTTTTCAAATAATATATATTTCTCACTCAATCTCAATTACGCAGTACATATGAAATTTCGAGAGTTAATCAAATTCTTAGTACTATTTTAAACTATATTTTAGTACTATTTATATAATTTTCAAATAATATATGTTACTACTCTATTATATTATGCAATACATGTGAAATTTCAAGAATTAACCAAAATTTTAATATTTTAAATTGATTTTTAGTACTATTTTTGTAGTAAATAGAGGAAGTTGAAGAAGAAGGGCAAATCGGTCAATTGACTGACTAACCCTAAGCTCCTAAACATTCTCACTTCTAAATGGAAGCACGGGCACAATATCCGTTAAATTGTTAATTATTATGATTTATAATATTTTTTACATTATTTTCAAATAATATATGTTATGTATTTTTAAATACTTTAAGTTGTGATTAATAATATTCTTAACGTAATTTCAAATAATATATGTTACTCCATTTGTCCCAATTTATGTGACACATGTGAAATTTTGAGAGTTAATATGTTTTTCAAATATTGTAAGTTGTTAACTATTGTGGTTTATGGTATTCTTAATGTAATTTTTCAAATAATATATGTTATTCCCTTCGTCTTAATTATACAATTCGCGTAAAATTTTGAGAGTTAATCGAATTTGTAATATTTTAAATTTATTTTTTAGTACTATTTAAAAAGGAAAAAATTAAAATATTACTATATAAGAAGAGTAGTAATTATATAGTAATTTTTCAAATAATATATGTTATTCCCTTCGTCTTAATTATAGAATTCGCGTAAAATTTTGAGAGTTAATCGAATTTGTGATATTTTAAATTTATTTTTTAGTACTATTTAAAAAGGAAAAAATTAAAATATTACTATATAAGAAGAGTAGTAATTATATAGTAATTTTTCAAATAATATATGTTATTCCCTTCGTCTTAATTATAGAATTCGCGTAAAATTTTGAGAGTTAATCGAATTTGTGATATTTTAAATTTATTTTTTAGTACTATTTAAAAAGGAAAAAATTAAAATATTACTATATAAGAAGAGTAGTAATTATATAGTAATTTTTCAAATAATATATGTTATTCCCTTCGTCTTAATTATAGAATTCGCGTAAAATTTTGAGAGTTAATCGAATTTGTGATATTTTAAATTTATTTTTTAGTACTATTTAAAAAGGAAAAAATTAAAATATTACTATATAAGAAGAGTAGTAATTATATAGTAATTTTTCAAATAATATATGTTATTCCCTTCGTCTTAATTATAGAATTCGCGTAAAATTTTGAGAGTTAATCGAATTTGTGATATTTTAAATTTATTTTTTAGTACTATTTAAAAAGGAAAAAATTAAAATATTACTATATAAGAAGAGTAGTAATTATATAGTAATTTTTCAAATAATATATGTTATTCCCTTCGTCTTAATTATACAATTCGCGTAAAATTTTGAGAGTTAATCGAATTTGTAATATTTTAAATTTATTTTTTAGTACTATTTAAAAAGGAAAAAATTAAAATATTACTATATAAGAAGAGTAGTAATTATATAGTAATTTTTCAAATAATATATGTTATTCCCTTCGTCTTAATTATACAATTCGCGTAAAATTTTGAGAGTTAATCGAATTTGTGATATTTTAAATTTATTTTTTAGTACTATTTAAAAAGGAAAAAATTAAAATATAATGAAAGAGGAGTGTATAAAAGTAGGTGGGCCATCTTGGTGCCACGTGTCGAAAGAAGAGTGAATTTTATTCACTCTTCTTATATAGTATATAAATATATATGATATATGATTTAAATAAAATAAAAGTAGGTGGGCCATGGTGCCACGTGTCGAAAGAAGAGTGAATTTTATTCACTCTTCTTATATAGTATATAAATATATATGATATATGATTTAAATAAAATAAAAGTAGGTGGGCCATGGTGCCACGTGTCGAAAGAAGAGTGAATTTTATTCACTCTTCTTATATAGTATATAAATATATATGATATATGATTTAAATAAAATAAAAGTAGGTGGGCCATGGTGCCACGTGTCGAAAGAAGAGTGAATTTTATTCACTCTTCTTATATAGTATATAAATATATATGATATATGATTTAAATAAAATAAAAGTAGGTGGGCCATGGTGCCACGTGTCGAAAGAAGAGTGAATTTTATTCACTCTTCTTATATAGTATATAAATATATATGATATATGATTTAAATAAAATAAAAGTAGGTGGGCCATGGTGCCACGTGTCGAAAGAAGAGTGAATAAAATTCACTCTTCTTTCGACACGTGGCACCAACATGGCCCACCTACTTTTATATTTGGTTTTTGAAGATGGCCCACCTATCACAAATATGGCCCACCTACTTTTATACACTCCTCTTTCATTATATTTTAATTTTTTCCTTTTTAAATAGTACTAAAAAATAAATTTAAAATATTACAAATTCGATTAACTCTCAAAATTTTACGCGAATTGTATAATTAAGACGAAGGGAATAACATATATTATTTGAAAAATTACATTAATTACTATATAAGAAGAGTGAATAAAATTCACTCTTCTTTCGACACGTGGCACCAAGATGGACCACCTACTTTTATATTTGGTTTTTGAAGATGGCCCACCTACTTTTATACACTCCTCTTTCATTATATTTTAATTTTTTCCTTTTGAAATAGTACTAAAAAATAAGTATGTATTTTCAAAGCAGAAGTTAAATGTAATTGACCATATGTATGTGTTTTCAAAGCAGAAGTTAAATGTAAGTGTTATCAACTCTATGTGTACGTATGAATAAATAAGGACGACTAGAATTTTAAGATACACAAATACATATGCCATAAAATTACATAATCTCGTTATATTATGTAATTTTCACAATAATAATTTTATGTAAAAATAATCTTGAAATTTTCACTATCAAGAACTTGTTCAATTGTTCACAATTTTTCTTAGGCCAACACAACTTAATATTATCTTCATATAATTCCATTTTACATCTTTCTAGAAAATACTTTCCTTCGAACAAAACGCAAGGGATAAAAAAATCGCAAAAAATAAATCATCAATTATTTTTTTCGATCAAAGTTAATGAAGTTTATCGTGTTAATCATACAATTCCTAATGTAAATTTTGATAGAAAAACACTACATTAGTGAGAACAAATTTTCTGGAAAAAGGCACAAATTTCACAAAATTTATAGACATTTAACAAGAAGGATTAGATTATACTCGTAACGAGTGACACTATTAGGATACACTGTCTACATCACACCCCTTATCGAACCCTATGTAAATACGAGATGCTTCGTGCACCGAGCTGCCGTTTTAGTAAGGAGTCACACAACATTTCAAGTGTAAGTAATATGAATAATGAAGTTACTATTGCTTGAAAAAAAGAAGATATACTTTTCTTCCAACCTTCAAAAAATTTATGCAATATGGAATTTGATCTAATAGTTTTGTAACATTCTTTCCTGTTGCAAAGATAACTTTCTCACAGAAGTACGATGCTATGCGATGAGAAACATACAGAAACAAGAGTCTTTTTTTCTTCACTGAATTTCGGAATACAAAACATACAAGAGATTTCTATCGTTAGTAGTCATCGCCTCTTGATACGACCTCTTTGCAAGTCGGACGAAGTAAAATGGTGTGCTCAAACTGAGATACGTAGCTACCTTTGTTATCGCAAAGTGGGGGATATGGCTGCCAAAAGAAAAGAAAAACACAGCAAAACTTCAATTTTAGATCATGCAACATACACAGTGTAGTCCCACAAGTGGGGTCTGGGGAGAGTAGGATGTACGCACAGCGTAACTAAGAGAGCCATTCCATTTAGGGCGAGACAAAATGGGTGGGCACGGACGGTCTGGTGTCCGAGCCGATTGGTCAGACGACGACTACTTCACTTATTATTTTAGTATTAGCCGCCTATCCCGGAATGGGGTGGAATAGAAAGAACGCGAAGCGCTAGCGCTACAGGGTCGGTTTTTTGGGGGGGGATAGGCTTGTGAAGAAGCAAGCTTATCCCCGCCTCGACCGGTAGCTGTAGACCTTACCCCTACCTTCGTGGAGTAGAGAGGTGGTTTCCGATAGACACTCGGCTCAAAAGAAGTGTAATCAAAGTAGGATTGGAACAAAAATAAAATAAGAAAATGTGATAAGATAAAATAGGAACCATGGATATGAATGCCATAATTGAGCCAAACGCATGAACGTTAACTTGATGTCACGTACCTGAACAATTCCAGCATCACATAAGTTCTTCAATGCCATCAGATATTTTGTCTCACCGACGCGGTCTAGATAACGTCTACAGAATGCCAATGTGGAGAAGTTCTTATTTATTGTTGCCAGCAGTTGCTTGGCTCTAGGCAGCCGCAGTGGAATGTGTCCAATATCAAAGTTTTTCATATAATGGCTGCATTCTAGATCTTCCCTCACGTATCCCTTCCCTAATATATGGAGATACGAGACGAGAATCAGTTTTGTCACTCCCATGTATCCCGGATATGCAAGTTATATTACTCTTTCGCACAAACAAAACAGAAATTACCTGTTGATCCAAACGTCTCAATTGCATAAAATTCACCCTCTTCCATTTTGGTTTGTTCTCCTCCTTTAACAATCGGAACAGATTTTCCTGCGTGGATTTGATACTGGCCTATACTGTGCCCATTCAGATTTCGGATGCTCTTAACTGCCAATGACAACATTGGTCAGAATTCTCAATTCATACAGGCGCCTGCTAATAAAATTACTTTGCTTATTGACATATAAGGTCCTTTTCTCCACACTTCGATGCCATGACGTTGGTCTTAACAAAACAAAGTAGGAAGTAAATGTTTTTTCTAGCTATCATACTTCTCAGATATCGTACCTTGGAATACCTTTCCGTTGATTTCAACCTCATAGGATTCCATAACCTCTTGAATTGCAGCACCGACATCACAAAGGCGTACGTCAATTCCCGCTTCCTACATAAAAAAATCAAGCCATGAATGCTCCCGAAAACTTCAACGCTTCCAATAAACTAGAAGCCCTTTTGGGTGAAAACTCCCAATTTTCCATAATTTTATTTCCTATTTTAACAATATTCACCTTAATGCCAGTATTAGTGGCTTCTCGTGAAGCCTCAAGTAGTGGATCAAACATAGGATTGAAAGCCACAGTAAATGCACAATCCACAATACGTCCTGCAAGAAACAACAGGTTAAACCATCACCTCGTTACTAAAATTGCTAACAATGAGAGTGTGCGAGTTAATAAAGCTTAGAACAACTGTTTCAATGCACGAAGGTGGTTCAGTATGTAATAGGAAAATGGTGAAATACAATACTATTAGACTAGAGATAGGACCATAACATGGTCTGGGTCGTGAGGGATGAATTAATATGGCTAGATAAGGAGGATTGTACAATGACGAGGTAATAGGACAATGGTGAAATACAATATGCACATGCGCCGGCCTGTTATCATTTGTCACTGTACTATGGACAACTCACCAAAAGTAGACAAAGTCATATATCAACACCCGTGACTCGCAACAAAAACTGAAGGTGATAACATCCTCTTTCCCATGTTTTTTGAATAAGAACCAGCAGCTCACGACAAGCCGAGGGTCTATTGGAAACAACATCTCTACCTTCCACCCTCCCCAGACCCCACTTGTGGAATTACATTGAACACTGACAGATAGAGCAAGTGAAAGGAGGAAGATAATCCCTCCAGATGGATTGTTAAAACAATATGAAAGCTCCATACAGATGTCAATCTTCTTGAGCCGGAGGTCTATTGGAAACAACCTCTCTACCCCCCAAGGTAGGGGCAAGGTCTGCATACACACTACAATCCCGAGACCTAACTAGTGGGATTACACCGGTTATGTTGTTGTTAATGTAGATGCCAATCACTTTATGAAAATGTGGTTCTTTTCGTACTCCACTACGAGGCACTGGATATAACATGACAGGAGCTACTGTACCAATTTCCAAACCAAAAAACAAACAATTTGATACATAAGGAGATAATGAGACTAATACCATAAACCATAAAATCACATACCAAAAGCACCTTAATGTCTAACACAGTTACACAGATGAGGAATTTTATAATATTACCATCAATATGGGTTCCAAAGTCCAACTTCATCACATCATCATACTGAAGCACAGTTTTATCTCCTGAATTGGGGGTCCAATGAGCTGCGACCCTGCAATGAGAAAGAGAAAAAGATTGACAAATTAAATAAATAAATAAAAAATGTGAACATGAAATAGGTCACTGCTAGATTCTGTTTTAAGATACCGTCCACTGACAACACTCTAAATCATGCTACCATTAGTATCACATTTTTTTAGTAGATCAAAATGAGTCTCAACTCTCACATTTAACAGCCAAAAGGACAAGAAAAAAGTTGCATTACCAGTTCAATGAGCACCCTGTAGGGAATGCAATGCCAGCTTGAAGACCATTCTCTGATATCAATTTGCGAACCATATTCTCCAAAGTCTCACACAGGTCAATCATTAACATGCCAGGCTTAGCAATTTGCCTGATGTATTTCCGAACCTGATGGTTGGAATTAAAGAAAAAGAAAATGGATACGTAATGTAATTGACAATTGAAGTTTTAATCCACAAGAAACTTAAACATTGACTGTCTTACAACTATGTTGGTAAGAAAACAGCCAGCGTGTATGGACATAGGTACTGACCTGACGATGAACTTCTGCTGCTTGACGGACAGAATTATAAGTTGGCTTTTCCAGGCGCTCCAATTCCCTCTTTTCCTCAGATGTAGTCCTCCACAAGTTACTGCATCAACAACCAAACAGAAATCACCCCAATACTCAAATTTAAATAGACAAAATGTAGTTGAAGTTTTAAGAGTGAAGGATACAGGAACATCAGACTTTTTCTTTGAAGTGCTCAATATATTTCAATATTAGTCAAAGTTCTAAACTAAAAGCCCAATGGAATGGCTCCGAATAACAATAGATAGTAAATTCAAGTGTACGTACTCATCTTTGTATTGTTGAATTTCACCCTCTGGAAATTCACCAGAAGGATAAAGCTCAGCTACGGGAATAGAAGGTGGATCAGTTTGCTGAGGTGGCTCCTTTTTTTTCCTGCATTTGCAAACAAAGAAATGTAACATGACTCTAAGGAAAAGCACAAGAGAGATTCGTGGATTGGAGCAGTCCTCACTTGCTCTTATTTTTCTTCTTCTTCTTCTTTGCAGCTTCTGTAAAATCACAAATAGAAGGCACAGGTATTAGAGGCAACCAAATGGATCTAGTACCTAAAGGGAAATGAGGGCAGTGGCCAGGTTATGAAAAAAGATCACAGAATCTTACAACTGACTTCAAGCACAGGACTAACAAAACAAAATACATGTCCTTACCCTAGAACCAATGTATGACACGTTCAACACTTTTTCTTATTTAAATTTGTGTGGATAACGCATTAGCTTGAATATCAAATCTCCATTTAGCAGAAGTTAGTTCCATCAGAACTGCACCTTCTATCTAATGCAAGTTTACATTTGAGTGGAAAAGCATTAGCTTGAATACCGATTTTCAGAAGTTTTCCATCAGACTAGACCCTACTATCCAATTAAACCTCTACATCGTTAAAGAGTGCTACATCCATGAGGGTTGGTTTTCATCCCAAATGAAAATGAAAAGAATGGGTAGTGAAAGACCAACATCTTGTTTCATGAATTCTAGACTTGTAATTGAACAGCTCTTGTCCATTAGTATATGCATGAAAACATTCAGCACATTATCTAAAGTAACTTTTTGATGATCTTCTGAATTATCGAGAGTCCAAGTAGTTCAGCATTTTACAAGTCTGTGCAAGGATTTTTTTTCGATTTCTTCTTTTGCCACTTCTACCTTCAATTGCATCCAAGTATTCTTTAGTTTTAAATTTTTATTGTTTTTGATAGGTTATGGCATCTAAACATTCTCAGCTGTTCGGTGAAAGACATCTGATAATTCTTCCAGTTTAACGTCGAACCATGTTTAGAATAAATCCCAGAAGACAAAATTCTTCACATTCCAAGCCTTCCAAGTTCCACCACTCTAGATAAAGTGAATGTGCAACTACATTAATCTATGCAAGACTGTAAGAAAATCTTATTCGGGCTTTCAAGCGGAAAAGAAATAGATAAAATTAAAAAATAAAGGAAAATATGTTCCTTCCTTCGTTCATTCACAAGCAATTAAGCTGGTATTAAATTTTTAGCATTTCTTTGACTTGAAGGAGTACCTGTCGTCGGCTCATCCACTGTCAAACCATCAACTTTCTCCTCAACCTCCTTTTGCAGTGAGGAAGCAGACCCGTTGGCCGTTTCATTATCATCGCGAACCTCAGATGTTCCTTCTACAACAACGGAAGCAGAGTTTGGCTCTTCTTTTGCCATTATTAATGTCTACACTGCAGTGGGGAATCAAGTGTGGGGTGTTGGGAGAAGGTGTTAACAATTGCACAGCAACAAACTCAAAGAATAGTGAAGAACCTAAAAGCACACAACCGAGAAGAACACAACAATTTCAGGTGGTAACAAAAAGGCAAGGTAAGGACCAAAAAACAGAAACAAATCAGGATATCTATTTGTAGGAACCACGACGAGAATAAAAAAAATATTTGAGGGGCAACAAGAATGCAAACTGTAAGAATCATAGCATGTAGAGTGATTGTACCAGTTAACACTTAACAATAAGATGGCATACAGTAACAGTTGAACTAAAAAATGACACAACACAGAAACCCTTTGCAGAACCAGCACAAAAAAAGGGAATCTTTTATTAAGGGGCATATTGTAAAAGCAATAGTATATGGTTATTAACAGTTAGTAACACGAATTCATATTGTAAAAGCAAAAATCCCAATTTTCAAGAATCATTAATCAAAAGACCCAACATTTACAAGAAAACTGAAACCAATGATAGAGATAACAAATTCAAAGCTACAAAAGACACAAACTACTAAAATAAGAGATCAAAAAACTCAAAGAAAGAACGTAAATGGGTAACAATCCCAATTTTCAAGAAAAAACATTAACACGAACAAAGACACGAAGGTGATTTGGCTCAACCATAGTAGCAATTGAACTCAAAAATGGCAAAACTCAGACACTCTTTTGCAGAACCAGCACTAAAAAGAAGGGAAATTTTCCAAGGGACAAGAATATTGAAAAAGCAATAGCATGCGGTAATTCTAACCATTAACAGCACAATTCATATTGTAAAAGCAAAAAAATCCAATTTCCAAGAAACACATTAAAACAAACATAAACATGAAGGTGATTTAGCTCAAACAATAGTATCAATTTAACTTGAAAACGGCAAAACTCAGAAACCCCATTGCAGAACCAGCACAAAAATTAAGGGAAATTTTTTCAAGGAACAAGAATAAAGTATATTACAAGCAACAGCATATGGTAACACTAACAGTTAACAGCACAAAATTTGTATTGTAAAAGCAAAAAAATCCCAATTTTCAAGAATCAATAACCAAACTAGATTCCACAAAAAGCACCAATCTTTTCAAGAAAACTTAAGCCAATGGTAAGAGATAACAAAACTCAAAGATATAAAAGAGCAAACTTTCACAAAACGAGAGATAAAAAAACTCAAACAAAGAACATAACGGATAACAATTCCAATTTTCAAAACAAAGACAACAGCAACAAAACTACAAGTGGGGTCTCGAGAGGGTAGAATGTATGCAAATCTTACCCCTACCTTTGTGTGTAGAGAGGCTATTTCCGATAGACTCTCAGCGCAATAAATCATATTGCAAAAGCAATAGCATATGGTAACACTAACAATTAACAGCACAATTCATATTGTAAAAGCAAAACAAAATCCAATTTTCAAGAAAAACATTATTACAAACAAAAACATGAAGGTGATTTAGCTCAACTAATAGCAATTGAACTCAAAAACAGCAAAACTCAAAAACCCCATTGCAGAACCAGCACAAAAAAGAAGGGAAATTTTTCCAGTAATAAAGCATATTACAAAAAGCATTAGCATATGGTTACACTAACAGTTAACACTTAACAGCACAAAATTCATATTTTTAAGTGTCCAGGCCAGCTTTCGAGCACCTCAACTAATTCCACAGATACCTCTCAACCCCTTCATTCACCATTAGGCCACAATTTTCAAGAATCAATAACCAAACTTAATTCAACAAAAAACACCAATCTTTTCAAGAAAACCTAAACCAATGATAGAGATAACAATACTCAAACATATAAAAAAGCAAACTTTCTTGAATTAAGTTATGAAAAACACTGAAATAAAGATTAAAATACAAAAAAAGATGAAGATGAATGAGAATACCTGTGTAACTGAAGAAGAAGAAAGAGTTATAGGCGCTGTATTTAGCAATCTTTTTGCCCTAGCTTTTATTTCACTCACCAAAGAAAGAGAAAGGGGAAATTAGAAAGATTTGGTAATTTTGCTTTGTTAGTCAAAGAACTAGAATAATTAAATTAAACTATAGTAATAAATCACTAATCTAAAAATATTTTTTCTCAAAATTTGAATTTGGAATTGCATAAATAACGTGGCATACTTTGTGCAATCGATCACTTGTAAGTTTCAAATATGACCAAAAAAAAAAAGAATTCTTATCATACTTTTGATTTTTGTTTTTTACTCGGTGTTCAATAACTGCATTAAAATTCAGATAAATTTAAATTTGTACTGAAAAAATTCACAATAGTAATAAAACACATAATTAATCTAAAAATATATTTTTCTCAAATTATTTATCAATCTAAGTTTGTGTTTGGGATTGCATTAAATAATGTGAGATACTTTATACATGTGATCATCCTTTAAGGTTAGAATTCTTTATAATCCTATATAGTGTTTGTAAGTTTAAAATATGAACAATTTTTTTTTTTTATCTTACTTTGTTTTTTATTTTGTCTTTCATTTGTTGTTTGATAACTGTATTAAAATTCAGATAAATCTAAATTCGTATAGGAAAATTCATATTAATAGTAAAACAATCCTTGAATAAGGTGATTTCGTACTCAATAAGGTACAAACCCAAAACCCCTAATCATATATATATATATATATATATAAAATAATCTAGACCCGCCTACGTGGCGCCACCACAAACCAAGATTTCATTTTAATTTATTTTATTTCCAAAACTAGCCTTCCACTTTTATGAAAAGTTGCGATTTTTTTGAAAAGTTGTGACTTTTATGATAGGTTGTGACCATTCCGAATGGTTGCAACTTTTCCAAAGAGTTGTGACCTCTCCGAAAAGACACAATAAGCATTTGTTCACGCTACCCTTTGTTGTCTATAAATAGAGGAATTCCCTCTCATTTTAAAACAATGAAATTTTTTGAACTTCTTCTTCTTCTTCTTCTGGACAATTAAATATTTGTTTACTTTACTCTTGTTGAATGACTCACTGACATAATTGTTTTTGTATCCATACACTGGTGAATATAATCGTTCTATCCTGAGAGGACCTATTCCTTTAGACCTCGGGTACTAGAGGGGAATAATTTCCTTAAGGGGACAATGTGCATTCAACGGGCTCGATTTTTTCCATTCTGTTTCATTAAATTGTTACTGATCCTGGTATGTTTTTTACGGTCATTAATTTATGCTTATATTATAAATTGTTATTTTTGAGTACATGCTTTAAACTTTGTTGTTTATGTTTCAACAAAATTATTGTTATAAGTATTTGTTAGTACAAATTAAATAACAAGCGTTAATTGAGTATTCACGCAAGTTTTCTCTACTGGAATTGTTGAAGGTACAATAAAAAAAACCCTTACAAATCTCCAATTCTTCATCAACAACTCATTCCTTCACATACAAGGATGAGATTTTGTGTTCTTTAGAAAATCCTCTGAGAGTTAATAAATTTGTCTGTCCATATTTATTTATTTTTTATGTTGTTGTTATTTATTTTTACCAAATTTAATCAGTGGATATTATGAGTACTTTAAGGATTGAAAGTTGATTGAAGTGTTAGTCAAATTTTTAAGGTATGTTATTTCAAAACACAGGAACTAATCTGGTTAGAATGATTTGTTATCATCATTGAATATCTCATAGTTTACTCCTTTTAATGTATTTTTTTTCTCACTGTTTTGTTGTCTCCTTAAAATTGTATTGATTATTTTTCTTTTCGTATGTATATGATCTCACTTGGACAAAACTTTCATCCTTTTAATGTTTTTCTTTTTTTCCTTCTCATTCAAATCTTCTAAATATTTTTGGTGTGAGTTATGAATATTTTCGACAAGCTTAATTTGAAACATATGAAACAAAACATGCTCTAAATAAAAGTAATATCTTAAGCTAAAAAAGATATGTCTATTAATATAGATTTGTTGTCTTTCATGTCTCAAGTCATTTCTAAGAGTTTGAGTTCTCTAGGTTGGACTCATTTTTAATTTTTAATGTTCGAGAATATTTCTTTAACATGAGTTTAGAATCCAACATTTTGATCTACTTGTACTTTCATAATGAAAAAATTATACATACATATTTCTGAAAAAGTCATAAAATTGCATTGATGAAACATCTAGAAGGGTCTTCAGAGCAGCAATTTAATAAAGATTGAATTTCTAAAAAGGTCAACAATATTATTTTGCTGTCGTTTCCAATTTATTTTTCTCCTTCTATAAATTTTGTTAGAGTAACAAAGTAAGAATAACGAAATTTGGTGAACGTTTGACCTCAGATAAGTAGAATGTCTCTAAAAAATTTATTTATGTTGTTGGGGGTGTACATTTTTAACGGTCTTAACTTATTTATAACTAATATTGATTATCGAAAACTTTCACATATTTTTTTTTTCACAAGGAGTTATTCTAACCATAAAATTATCAAATTCTATATTTTTCATGTATACAAAAAATATAAAAAGTGATGTTTAATCGCTACATAAAAACATCACTCAGTTTTAACAAGACAATTATAGCATCAAATATATATTATGATAAATTATGTAAAAGATAAAAATGATTAGATATCCAGATATTTTTTATCATTCATTAAATATTTACAATTCTTGAGATATGTGATAATGTCAAATAATTTAATTTCTATTGAAATGTTCTTAAAACCTACTAAAATTTACTTTTTTGTTCTTATAACAATAGATTATTGGAAATGTTGTTCAAAAGCTTAGAAAGATTATTTATGCCCGCGCGAAGCACGAGTTTATTACCTAGTTAAAAATAAAGGATGACAATTTACATCCTACACGTCATCTTACATTAAGTCCTACATGTACTATGTCACGTAGGACACATGTATCTATTTATTCAATTTTATACAAATTTAAGTGTCTATTTATGCACATTCAAAATTAAATAACATAAATATTAGTTGATATCAATTTTTTTAAAAAAAAACATGTTTATGTATTATGCAATTATAATGTCTTCTTAGAGGAAAACATAAATAAAATTTTGGTGGGTTGTGGGCTGCTTTTGTTTCTTTTGGTCCAAATGGTATACTAGAATGGGCTTTTTGGGCCCAATGGGAAACTAGAATGGGCTTTTTAGGCCCAATGATATATTGGAATTACAGAAAAAAATCATTTTGGACAATCTTGTGTTATGTTACATGTTTTGCATTGTAGTTATTTCTACATAATACAATCCAATTTTGGACTTTGAAATTTTACGGGTCAATCTATTTTGATATCGTCATTTAATGTGTAATTGTTTTTTTGTACATATAGCTACTTATGACTAAATGACTGAAGTTACATATGACTAAAATCATGCATTTTTGCATGAAGTTCAAAGAAATATGATTTCCGAAGTAGGTATAGATACAAAAATATTAAGAAACAGATACAAATTAAATGACGACTCAAATTAAAATCAGATATCCATGCACTCCTCCTAGTAATTCTTCTTAATGTTCTATGTTTTGGTTTGTTCATTCCTACACAATATACACTTATAGGTCATCAAGATGCGGAATGAGAAAAATAAGAATATTTTATGGGATTAGTTATCCTCTTTTATATGAAATAACTAATTTCATCATTTTAGTACAATAAATAAAATAAAAATTTCGAAATTAGTTAATAATTAATACTTCAAATCAAACAGGCATAAAATAAAAATATTTTTTAGTTTTATCTTAAAATTAATATCCTTATTCGATATACCAAACGATCCTACGTATATACTTCTACTCAGACAGAAGGAGTGAAAAATTGGCTTCCCCAAGTTTTTTTCCTTTGTCCAATATATAATCATCTCAAAGTCCTTTTCCATGTGACTTGTGAATTGGACAAAATACATGTGGATTATTGGCATTTGTTTGAACACAAATATAGATAGGTCAGTATCTACTTCAGATTTTGATTAATTTGAATTTTTAATCGAAAAAATATATTTTAAGAGATAAAATACTATTATTTTTATATAAAAAATGACTTTATATATTTTCAGAACTTGAATCTAAAAATTGTGGTTAAAAGTAAATATGTGCTTATCATTCCATTATTACCTCTGATGGTAAATATAGATTTTTTTTCCTTCAACTGATTGTTTGCATCGGATGTCAGGTTCTCCATCATATTTCCAGCCCCCTTGCAAATGCACCCCTTACCTTAAATATGACTTTCGTAATTGCACTCAAAATTCTGTAAATACGACTTTCGCACCCGATACCAACTAAAAACCCAAAAATCTTTGATGTCAGGTTCTCCATTGTATTTTCTAAAATTCAAAAAATCAAGACTGAACTAAACAAGTAAACATTGAACACAAATCGACTCTCCCGCCCTTTTAACAATAATTTTTTGCACTTGATATCGATGTTTGAACCTTGCCTATCACTTCATGTTATCCCGGGATGTTACTAAATAGATGGATCTTATCAACATTCATAAATAACAAAATTAAAAATCAAATCACCGAATATGAAAAAAATTGATGTTATCATAAAACCTTGTATCGACTAAGTTTATAAGTTGAAGATTTCTCATTTGATGGGGATAAATAAATCGTTTCTTGACAAAGACAAAAAAAAAAAAAAGTTGAAGATTTGCTAGACAAATTTGAGTAAAATGTTTTTGATTCTGAAATCACTTGGACTGACAACATGTGCTAGCCTGGATGGTGACAAGCCAATACAAAGTACTACTATAACATAACACCACTAAATTCACTACCCTAAAGTGAATAAAGCTTCAAAAATTTACTTTAGTCTTTTTGAAAAATAATTTTTTTTTTAACTTTCAATGCAAGATTAACTATATATCTATTTAAACATGGAAAAAAGAAGTTGGAAAAGATTACATGATAAAATGACTATAGAAAGATATTAGTAGTTCTTATAAAACTTAAATTACATTCTACTTATCATAATTATATGTCAATAGATAATAATTTAGAGTGAAGGGCATATATGTTATTTGAAGGGCATATAATTTTATTATAGGGATGATTTCAAATATGCACCAAAATTTTTGCATTTGATATCGATGTTCTGTATTTGACGTTCAATTTTTATATTAAATCTCGATTAAATCTACATTCATGTCAGAATTTTTTTTAAAAAGTAGAAAAAATTGGGGACCATAGATAATAGTGTTGGACAAATTTGAGTAAGATGTTTTTGTTTCTGAAACCACCTGGACTGACAACATGTGCAAGTTTAGATAGTGACAAGCCAATACAAAGTACTACTAAACCATAACACTACTTCACTTCATATAATTACAATCAACTTAAAAACGTGTCATAAAAGATTTAAAAAGTTATTACTTCTATCGTCTCAAAATAAATATCGTTGTAACTACAATAAAATAGTATATCTTAATATAATTATTGTTTCAAGAGCAGAAAAGGACCAAAAATACTCTTGGTCTATTTAAAAAGATTTAAATATGCTCTTCAATCCTCATTCACCTAATAGGCTAAAAATATGCTCCTCAATCCTCATTCACCTCCGGTAGAAAGCATTTTGCCGCTGAAATAAAATTTTCTAACGCGAATAATTAATACAAATGTGTATAACCATGCAAGCCTCGCTCGTTACTTGAAAATACCGAGTATTGATCAAACTAAAAGACACATAATAACATAAGTTCATAACATCAGTTAGTGAAATGATGTTAAGCATCTCTACCAGTATGAAAAGAGATTATGATGCTATAATCTACGTCCCTACAAATTTTTATAACATATATTAATTATTAAACATCTATCATGAAGGGCTTTGAATGTACTCCAACTTTAAAGAAAAACATATATGTATTACAAAAAAGTTTGAAGTTGCTCCAACTCTGAGAAAACATGTATCATAAAGAGGTTTCAATGTATAATTATTTTAAATATATGTTAAACATCTATCATAAATGTGTCGAATTTGAATAATGAGATTGAATATTATTGCCTCTGATAGAAAATGTTTTGCCTTCAAAATAAAATTTCTTAACGCGAATAATTACTATAAAGGAATATGACTACGCAAGACTCGATATTCATAAATACCAAGTGTTGATCAAACTAAGAGACATGTCATGACATAAGTGCATAACATCAATTAGTAAAATGACGTTAAACATTTCTAGTGGTACAAAAAAAAAATTGGGATGCTATAATCTACTCTAAGCCCCTCTAGTGTCGTAATAGATATTAAACAACGAATAAAATAAAAAAGATTCAACATAAAAAACTTTTTGTTTGAAAACATTTATACTAATCATACTAAGAAACACGAAAGTATAAGTAATTCAAGTTAGCAAAGTGACATGAAGTATCTGTAATGATACGAAAAAAAGAATTTAAATTAACCAGATTCTAAAAGCATATACCGAACATCAAATCGAATGACTTAAAAAGAAATCAAGAGTAATAAAGAAGAAGAACATTTTCATTTTTGGCTTAATGTGAAAATATACATTGAATTATGAATAATATTTTATTTTTGTTCTTTTTTTACAAATTATTTACCATATTTTTATTATTATTACATGTCACTCTTTTGAGAGGGACTTCTCCAAAATCCACCCCCATAAAATTTACTCCACATTTCCTTCTCCAGCGCCACCACATCTTTATCGGATTTTAAGCTATTTCCGCCGTCAACCACCGCAAGTGTGGTGGCTCCGTCGATGGGGTGAATCGAAAGTTCCGAATCGTCACAGCTACTGCATTGTGATTGTAGAATTTTCTTCTTCATTTGCCGGCGTCGGCGTTTTCTCCGTAATGCTTTCCGGCAAAGTCCCGCCGGAAGTTTGTAAACCGCCATTACGAGGAGGTTAACGAGTCCACAGGGGCAACAACAGCAAACAGCGGCGCATTCCGCCGCTGTTCCGCCGGCAACCTCTGCTAATCGCGCTTTTCGAACACCACCTCGTGATGATGTGTCTTGGTTCGATAAAAGAGGTTGCCGGCGCCGGTCAATTGAAAGTGATGAAGGTGCACGCAGCACTATTTGCTTTGTCATTAATTCGATCGGAAGTTATGATTTCTCCCCCCGCCGGTAAATTAAGCAAGAAACCCCAATATGGATAAATAAACAGCCCCTTGCCGGAAAAATCAAACAAGCAGCCTCGCGCCGGTAAATTAAGCCTCTCCTTGCCGGAAAATTAATCAAACAACCCCAATCTGGATAAATAAAGCAGCCCCTTGCCGGTAAATTAAGGAAGCAGCTCCTTGCCGGAAAATTAAGTAAAGCAGCACCTCGCCGGAAAATTAAGCAAAGCAGCACCTCGCCGGAAAATTAAGCAAGCAACCCTTCTCCAGATTAATAAGCAGCCCCTTGCCGGAAAATTAAGCAAACGACCCTTCTCTGGATAATTAAGCAACTCCTTGCCGGAAAATTAAGCAAGCAATCCCTTGTCGGAAAATAAAGCAGGTGACACCTCGCCGGAAAATTTTGAGGAACCCCACCCAACCAAATTAGATTGG